GGAACTAAAACTTCGATCCGCTCTGATCTCGAGTCTTCTGTTCCACTTCTTTTGCCTGTTCTGGCAAAATACTTGAGCCTCAAAAATGTTTCACATACGTTTTAAAAGCTCAGGATAATTAAGCCTCTAATACTTCTCTTCACAGTAATCAGTGAGAGGCTTTGGCAATGTTCCACTTTTACATGAACATCAGAATACTCTGGTACCAGAGACAAAATAACAGATTTTGTGTCTGTGTCTGAGAGTTTCTTGAAGAACCCATCAAGCTAAATTTTGGTAGGAGCTAGCTTCTGCAAGCCTGTAGTTTTGCATTACTACTAGTACTACTAGAAGGTTCGCTACAAGAACTTGCCTTCGTTCTCCTTTCTGGATCTGAACGGTCTATATCTGATATAGCAGAAAATGGGACACTCTTAAAGGAGGGAGGTAACCAATATCATGGCATTGAGGTGCATGACAAAAACCTTTTTTCTTGAACGTTAGCCTCAAGCGTGGAAAGTATTGCAGCAATATGAACAAGCTTAGCCCAGGCCTGCCATGCAATCACAGTGCCCACATATCACTGCCACTTTTTTCCTACACCAATCCATTGGAGTGCTTAACCTGTGCTGTCACCAAGAATTTGTCGTTACAAAGCTGGAACGTGGACATTAGAAACTCAGCCATCTATGAACTGCCTGAATCCCTCTAAACTTTTATAACTTTGAGTTCTTGCATCGTACGTATAAGGGCTAGGAGTAGCTATTAAGTAGTTAAAGATATCGGGATACTCAACCGTTGCCCAGTTCTGTCAGTCTAAACTTCTCTCACTCCGCTCCAGATCAATAGCCAGGTAAGGGTCACAGATTCCACCGAGCAACGCTAGTTTCTCCCTTTAACGGGACTTAGCTGCCTCTTCCAAGCCATCATAGTAGCTAGAAAAGGCTATTCCAGCTTCGATCCCAGCCATACACTCACGATACATGGCATCTGGCACTCAAGAAGTACATACTTGTGTGTGTGTAGTCGGCGCTCAAAATAGCTACCTAGAAATGGTTGCTACGTATGTCTGGATACAAATGACGTAACCGCACAAGGTCTATATTACCAATAATATTGAATGTTCATTAATAGAATTATTGAACTGCATCAGCATCATACATACCACAACTGTGCTGTAGAGGCTGTAGAGGCGAGAGATGGCTGACACGACCACACCCCTTCATTCTGCTATCTCTTCTATACTCTTGCCCACCGACTGGTGAAACGGTGCAGCGCACTGTAAAACGATTTTCTCTGAGGGAGAAGGAGCCACCATCATGATCATGTTCGTTTGCGGTAGCCTCGAGAACAAAGAACTCGCTTGAGAAGCTGGCGAGTGCACATGTGCGCATGAAAGTGTGCTATGCTGTCATTCTCTCGCTGGAGGTCAATGACTGCTACAAAGTCACAATAAAACAAATAATGTCCGTGGTGTCGGGATGTGGTCTCCAGACCCATTTAGCACTCGGCTGCGCCTCCCTCACTCCCGTAAATCGCGTATAGAACTCTAAACGCACCTAGTTTTATCTTTTACTTATGGCCTGGTATGTTGAAATACATTCTGATTAATTAAGTTAATAGCTTTCCTCTTCTATTGTCATACCTCTCATGGGAACATTCTGTTCTGTAAGACTGACTGTGCAGTCCTCCCCTCGATCATCACAACTTTCTATTGGACCTTTTGAACTGTAGGCGTAGACAGAATGATAGCTCTTTAGGTATATAAGTCTTACACATTCTCATGTACTTAAAATTGAAGAACCCCATTAAACGTGGACCATTAGTTGAAATGGAGAAGGGTGCATAGTATTATTATACACCCCGTCATTCAGAGTTTGCAGATTAATATTATTCTGCCTCCTCATAATGCTAGTTTGTTATAATCAAGAGCCCTTGGCAATCATTTTTGAGGTTTTATTATTATCTTTAACATAAAATCACCACAAATGTAACTTTATTAATGCCCAGAAATGCACCTCAGTTTTAGCCCTCAGTGCGCATGTGCAGCGTGGGTTACAGTGTTTGGTCCGTCTTTCTGTCTGTGTGTCGACGCTTATTCTGGCACTACAGGCTACTAGGTTGCCTATGAGTGATCAACTGCTTCAGAACTATGGGAGCCTGAAAATGTAAATGCTGATTTTCCTGAACACCTGTGTTTGAGGAATATGCCGTGAAAAAATGGCAAAAAGCCAATATGCATAATCGGGCTTGCTTGCCTGGACCTTATTCACTTGCTCTGTGTATATACCTGTGAGGCACAAGAAGTCACAACAAAGGGCGTGTATCGTCTCCCGCATGCTATCTACTAGTGGCTAGACTCTCTGTGAGCTACTAGTGTGGAGTCCACGAGTAATGCATACTCATAGCCCAGCCCATCAATTAGCGGTACCGCACATGTGCAGTGCGCCAAGGGTTTGCACTTTCTTTAGGAGGATTTAACATGCCTGTATACAGGGCCAAGAAGGCAGTATTGTCTTGGGAGTATACTCATTCATTATAAATTGGAATGGTAAAACAACTTTAATCTTCACAGGGGTGTATACAGACGGAGGAAGTCTTGTAGTAAGATGTTGATATTAGTTTTTCAGGATGGATAGGACAGTCTAGTTTCACACTCTTTGTTTTGTGTTGTGTCTTTGTCTCGCCTTGTCAAATTAATAATCATGGCAGTGGTTCAATTGATATCATCTGCTCATGTTTTTGTGAAAACATTAAGGTTTTAAAATATATATAATCCTACATGAGCAAGATCTTTTTCATTATTATTATATTCGTAAATATCGTGCCCATGGGACTGGAAAGTATGCACATTAAGATCAACTCTTGTGCACAAACATGCCTAATTGCAATGTGTGTCTTGAAGGAGGAACCTTCTTACATTATGGTTTATACTATGCCCAGCAACATCGTATCTTTAGGCTAAAGCCTCATTAATTAGTTGTGGCTTCGGGTTTCATCATATGTTTCTATTGGAGTGAAAATAATGGACACAAAATAGAATTCTCGCACACATCTGCATATACGTGCACCATTGCATTACTAACATGTTTTTGGTGGCGTCAGTTTTACAATTTGTTTAAAGAAAAACTCCCTGCATTGCATCCCTATTTTTCATATTTTGACGCACACCTTCTATTTACTGCATATTTTTGGAGACTTGAAGACATGAATTTTCATTAAAACAAAGCCTAAGAATATTTTCCAATCCATTAAGTTTGCAATATAAGGTTCCTCCTTACCAGCCTCACCCTCTCTGCGGACCAATTTTAGCATATAACCTTTGAACCCCCAGAAAAGCGGAGGGAGAGCCTCAGAGGAGGTCGGACATGGTCACATGAATCATACAAGAATTCCGATTAGCGCGTTGAGGAATGCATGACCTTCGACGACCTACAGACACCTGGCTTATTTTGTTGACAACTCAGACGGAGATTTCGCTGAAAACCACGCAGAGAGTTGTAAAAAGGATCGAAGGAAGGTACTGTGCATTTAGCTTGGCTCTAGGGGTGAGTGTGACGGAGTTTTTAGTATTCTTTACTATAACTTGCCAAGTGGTAGGATTTCGCAGGGGATAATAGGATTTTCAGTATCTTTCTTACATATTACATGAAGTCTATTGCAGATCCTCTCTGAATCCCGCTTGGTTTTGCTACAGTGCACTCTTTTATCTCCCCATACATCCTTTATGGGAAAAATTGCTGTGTCAGCATTCACAATGACGCAATCCCTGCGATGTCCGACCTTCTATGGGAGAGCCTAGTATATCCTTTTGCACGTGAGTGATGTCACGGTAGACATGTTTTTGAGCTAGGGTAAACACGTTTTTGCATTCGGGCTTTGGTAGCGTACGCAACAAGCCGGTGAGCGAGTACAGCCAAGGACACGAGCTAGGTAGCCTCGCTTGTGCGTACAGAGGAAGCAACTACAACGAGACAGCTAACCGCGGCACATGGCGACACCGTGGGTGAACTTACGGGGAGAACCAGTGAACAGTTCTGGTATGACTGGGTCTTTCATAAGGCGAGGCAAACAGCGCTTCCACGCACCGCGGTTAGCTGTGTTGCTGTAGTTGCTCTCTCTGTCTCTGCCTCTCCCTCCGCTTTTCTGGGGGTCATTCGTTAAAATTTGTCCGCGAAGATGGAAAGCCTGGGAACGAGGCTAATTTTAATTAGCAGGTCTATGGAATAACACACCATAACAATGTGTAAAAACTCAATTTTTTCTGCATCTATGGCATGAAAGAATCCTAGCCATACATTTCAGTACAAGTGACATGACGTCTCTGGGAGTAAAGCAATTGTGTTTAGTTGCATTCCGTGCTTTACTGGAAAATATGCAAATACGTATGATCTGTTTAAGAATTGCTGTGTTTACTTTCACATTTACAAAACTCACCCCTCACATAGCTACATGAAACCATTCACTCTCAATGGAGTCAAGGACTGGGTTTTCCATATGATTATACTAAGACAAGGCTTGGTAGTCTCAATTCCCACAGTTGAGGAGCATTTAAAAGAATATTTCATAATATGTGCTTTAGCACTCATATGGGATATAAAAGAATTTTTCTGCAAATTCTACCAACATTGTTTTGGTTGAACACATTTCTTATCTTGCGTAACAAAAGATGGCATACTTTTATGGCAATGGGCGTTTTCAGCCTGAAGCTCTCTGTATTTCTACTGACTTTCAGTATAAGTGACTTAGATTGTGGCTGTCACTGTCGTCTATGCAACCTGCGTCTTTCGCACAAGAGACAGCTACCTTGCAGAAGGGAACTATCTGGGCACCACTGGGAGGTGTTTTATTGACAATGCGCAGGTGCCATCGTGGGCAGGTTCTTTGGAAGTGTCGCTGCACTGTCACTAACCACGAAGACACAATTATTGTGCCTGCTCTTTTACAGAAAACAATATGCACTACAGGTTTTTGATTCCATGTATTTAAAATTTGCATTAATGCTTCTGTGTCATACGTAGGTGTGACTCTGTGCTACTGAAACATATGTTGGAACGAATCAGGTAAAATATACAAAGTTAAAGTTGTATGTACGTAAAACCTTAAGCTCATTAGCCTCCATGTTATTGCATGAGATGTTATTGAGATTTGGTAATGGATAAAAATGCTGTAACAGATACATGCATACAGTTACATATGTGGGGATATTGGATTATGCATGGGCTCCTTACAAATAGTGGCCTCCAGCTAGGGGATGTCCAGTCGGGCTTGCTTAGTAGCAGCATATATAGCTGAGACTGGGGTATGTGTGATGGTGTGAGTGGAGCCTTTGGAACGCAAGCGTCGCTTTTGTGAAAGCTCCTTTAAGAAACGGCGTACTGCTGGGGGATGTCTAGTCGGCCTCCTTGGTTAGTAGCATGCCAAAAACCTTTTTGCTTGAACGTTAGCCTCAAGCGTGGAAAGAATTGCAGCAATGTGGGAACAAGCTTAGCCCAGGCCATACAGACACACAGACCAAGTACTATAACGATCGTGCGCATATGCACCGAGGGTTAATAATTATGTCAACATGTCTCTTGTCTCCTTGTTGCTGGTGTGCACTGCCAAGTATGTCATGTAGCAAAAGGGCCATGACAGTGCCGTTGTGGAGTCGTAGAAGTGTGGCAGTTCCTAGGGACTTGCAGAGGTAGCTGTTGTAATTGAAATGGACGCAGCAGTCCTACCAGGGATGCAGCTGGTTGTGAGACACCCAGAGTTGTCGATGAGCGCCTCTAGGAAAGATAGTAAGACAGCCCAGGTGAATGGTAGGGATAGGGAAGGTGGTATGTGTTATAGAGCATAGATGTGTTTACAAGAGAGGATCATCCCGGGAGGCAGATATCAACCATCCAGGGTCACCAAGGTGGCGAGATCCTCTAGTGGATCTGCCCTGGCCTAGCTTTCCACAGTTTTGCGGGATGTATGCCCGGCCTAGGCTGCTCAGTATCGCGACACATCTGTAGGCCTACCTAGGCACGGTGTCACGGCTGGTCTGTAGGCCTGCCTGACCCAGTATTGCTCTCACAATGCTCGGCCATGCCGGACTGCAATGCTAGCGCTGTCTGCGCAAAACCCGCTGCACGTCTAGGCCCGACTGCTTTCGTATATACTGTCCGTCCACGGCATTGAACTTACCAGAGTTGGAGGTATGTTGCTGGCAGTGGAAGATACCTGAAACAGCGACAGACCGAGACACAGAGGGGCCTGACGTGGGAGCAAGAGGTAGAACTGACCTTCACCTGCATTGCCGCCCCGGAGAGCCTTGATTCAGACTGAGCAGACTTCTGAATATACGTTCATTGGGAGATTTAGCATGTATTTAATATAACTGTGGTCTGTGCAGTGTGGCAGTGCCTGGTATATACAAAATATTCCACATCAGATGACTTGACAGCTACCCATGCCGTACTTCTCGACCTGATTGGAAGAAAATGACACGAGGCCATGAACTTTTCTGAGGCTGGAGTACATAAATTTGATGCATAGGTAGGTTCATATTTTTAAGGATGAGGCCAGATTTACAAGTATGAGGCAGATGTCATCCCATATAACGGTGATGAAACTGTGCTTTGTTGTGCCTGACACTTGTCATGAGGGCAATATGTTGGGTTGTGAGTGTGCATGCGCATGCAAGTGGCGCATAAATATTGTTGACCTGCGCTTGTAGCTGACTCACTTTATCATTGACTGCACTACACTTGTACAAACATGTGGCTGGGTTACAAAGGAAGGGAACTAACTATCCTGCCTGGAAAATACAATGTAGGATGGCGCTTATGAAAGAGGGCCTGTGGAGGATAGTTACTGGTGAGGAAGTAGCTCCTTGCGGCAGTGAGGCTGAGAGAGCAAAATTTGCTGCGAGGAGGGACCCCACTCTGGCCACCGTCGTTTTGTCGGTTGATACGTCGCTGTTATACCTCATTGGTAATCCTGAAGATCCAGTGGTCGCCTGGAAGAAGCTGGCTGATCAATTTGAGAAGAAGACGTGGGCAACAAGGCTAGACTTGCGCCGCAAACTGCACTCACTGAGATTGAAAGACGGAGACTCGGCTCAGGAGCATATCAAAGTAATGACAGAACTCTTTGACGCACTCTCAGTCGCGGGAGAAACTGTTTATGAGGAGGATAGAGTAGTTTACCTCCTGGCCAGCCTGCCAGAATCTTACTGTGTGCTGGTGACTGCACTAAAGGCAAATGAGGATGTGCCCAAGGTGGAGGTTGTTACTGAACGTATTCAGCACCAGGAGAGAAAGTCAAAGGAGAGAAGTGAGGCTAGTCCCAGCACTGAAAGTGCAATGACCTCACGCAAGACCTTCAGATGCAAACCAATAAGGTGTCACCACTGTGGAGAACTGGGGCACATCAAGAGGTACTGTAAAGACCACAAAGCTCAGAAGGAGAGAGACGAAAGCCGATAAGAAGGGTCAGAAGGAAAGAAAACCAAATCTCGGAAGGCAGCTACAACAACCATGGAGAGCTCAGATAGCGAGAGCTCTTGACTCATTGCTAGTCAAACATTGTCCGTCTCAAGCTCGAATGAACAGTGTGCTCGAATGAACAGTGTGCCTGGATCGTCGACTCGGGAGCCACATGTCATATGTGCCAGGACAGCATGTTGTTCACCACTCTCTACCAGTGAAGTTCACTAGGTCAGCTTGCTATATTCTAAACAAAGAGCATAAGATGGTTGCCAAAGCTACTAAGATAAGAAGCCTCTATCAGCTCAACCACAAGCCTAACCACGAACGAGCTACCTTTGCTGAGAAATCTGACACAAAGGAGGATATTTGGCACAAGCGCTTTGGGCATCTTGGAATAGGCAGACTCCAGAAGCTTGCACGTGAACAGCTGGCAGATGGTTTCGATTTTGACACAACCGGGAAGCTTACGTTTTGTGAATCCTGCCCTCAAGGCAAACAGCATCGTACCAAGTTTTCTTCAAGCAGTCGAAGGGCAGAGGAGCCTCTCGATCTCGTGCATAGCGATTTGTGCGGGAAAATGAACGCAAAATCGTTGAGTGGCGCTGAGTACTTTTGTCGTATATTGATGATAAGACTCGGTATGTATGGGTATATTTTTTGAAGTCGAAAGATCAAACATTTGAGAAATTCCTGGAATGGAAGGCCATGGTCGAAAAGTCTACCGGGAGAAAGCTCAAGGCTATTCGCACAGATAATGGAGGAGAGTTCACCTCCAAGGAGTTTGAAGCACACCTGACAAGAGAAGGAGTACGCCACGAACTCACAGTTCCTAAAACCCCAGAGTAGACTGGTGTGGCAGAACGAATGAATAAAACCCTCGTAGAAACTGCCAGGTCTATGCTCATCCGTGCCACACACATTTTGGGCGGAAGCCTTATCCACTGCAACTTACTGCGCAACAGAAGTCCTGCGAAAGCAGTCTGTAGAAGACTCCTCATGAAGCCTGGGCAGGAGAAAAACCGCGAGTTGATGGACTTCGAGTTTTCCGGTGGCAAGCCTTCGTACACATACCCAAGAGTCAAAAGTCTAGGAAGTGTGTTCTCCTAGGATGGAACAACCCTCAAAGGGTATCGATTATATGATCCATTGAAGAGAAAGGTGTTCCACAGCAGAGATGTCATTTTCAATGAACAGAGGTGTGGTTTCGAGAGCCCTCTCAGAAGCAGATACAACCACTTGTGTACCTCGAATGTTCAGGTGAACCCTCTGAACCCTCCGAACCCTCTAAAGCAGTTCAGCCTTCCGCACCTGCAGTAAGACAATCTGAACGTGAGAGGAGACAGACTGACTTCTATGGTGTCCGATGGAACATGTCTGATGTCAGTTAGCCAAAGTCTGTTGGCGATGCTCTGACCAATCAGGAATGGGTTGATGCCATGAAAGCAGAAATCGATTCCCTCCATGATAATAGCGTCTGGGAACTTGTACAGTTACCAGAAGGTCGAAAGCCTGTAGGGAGCAAGTGGGTTTATAAAGTGAAGATGAAAGCTGATGGCTCTATCGAGAGATGTAAAGCCCGTCTCGTTGCCCAGGGGTGTTCTCGAAAACAAGGACTCGATTATGATGAAACCTTCAGTCCAGTCGTACGATCAGAATCTGTCGGCTCCGTGATTGCCCTCGGAAATTTTAACTTAGTTACTATATACTATGCCCTAGTCCAGGACTGCGGAGGAGACCTAGAAGCCGTAGAAATCAAAGCTCCTGACAACAGTATATTCGTACTAACCGCAACCGCCACTGAACATAGCTGACGCTGGTCAGGTGTATACCGGCATTTATTACATTGCTGTGGCCTATTCCTACCGCTTGGGCAGAGCAGTGCTTCATCGCATAGGCCAAGCGCTGTTGTCCACGTTCACAGCGTGTGTAATTGAAACACAAACCTTCACTATATCGAACTGCCTACCATGGCGTGGCGGTGTTCCTGGGCTACAAAACAGTTAACCCACGGGGGCAGAAGCAGTGCTGGATATCCCTCAGCCGTTTTTCAATACCATCCTCTGGCTCCGCCCTCAGACGGTATTGAAAACGGCTTTTTGGTATATCCCGTACCGCTTGCACGCCTGTGGGTAACCATTACTTGCCTCTTGTCTTGCATGGAATACAGTTCAGGTGTGTTTCTAATCACCTAACACGGTAAACAACATGCTAATAACCCTTTCAGTCACAAAACACACATCTAGAACGTCAACAAAACTCAAACAAATGTGAACTTTGACCCAGTAGGGGTGCGACATGGGGCGATATCTCGTAAAAACCACCCATGCATCCTCAGAAGTAGTCATGTGGCAGTCCAAGCTTTGGTGTTCTTTTCAAAGCAAAAAGGTCCGGATTGAGTGAGACATGTCATAAATGTCTCAGTAGGCTGTTAGGCAGCCACAGAGGCTGTGTGTAAATGGCCGGGAGAGAGATCGCCATAGCGCGTGTGTGCGGCATGAAAGTGGGTGTGTTGATTTGGGCAGAATGATGCATGCACACAAGAGAGACGGCCGAAAAAGGCTGATCGAGCGCAGAAGCCGAATCTGTGACTGAAAGAGTTAATGGCCACTTATGCTCATCCCATCATTACATGCCCAATGGTACATATGTACAATTAGCGACAGTTCCCATTGTTGTTTTAACCGGCGGGTTTAAGGTCTGACTGCTGACTCCCCTCCTCTTAATGTAGATGCCCGAGCAATGGAAAAAATAGGTGTACTAACTTCTAATGCCAATACTACTGCTTCCATTAAGAGCAGCATTGTGATATGGCCCACTGCTTAGTCTTGAAGTATGTAGCTGGCGGGGCTGCTGCTGTGTTATTGCATATTCCTGAGAGGTGTGATCAGAACCCATATACAAGGTACAGTTAGTTACCACTTGTTGCCTTGAGGCAGAAAAGTCGCTGCATCTAATTGTGTTCAACTTCAACCAGGCAGCAGCTTCCACCTTGTGACAGAAGCAGGAATCATGTGCCTGTCCGCACCAATGTGCATTTAGGAGCATAATAGTCTAGTAGGCAAGGAGTTTGTACCATGTTTGGGTGCTTTGATAGAAGGACAGCTGCAGACATGTCAATGCAAGACACCCAGTGACAATCATGCTAACAGTAGTACTTTTGGGGATTGAATTCGGTGGATATTATTACATCATCTCCCTGATATTTGAATAGTACGTAGCTTCAGACAGTTTGGCTGCATAATTAACAGATTTCCATTGCATTGTCACTGTAGATGCCAATAGATAGTGCATATTTTTTGAATGAGAGGAGACATCAAATCGGCCATGGAAATTATGAAGGGCACTTACGTACACTAAAACCCCCATATATGTAATTTACCAACCAAAAATTGGATGAAAAGCTACAATGCCCGGTAGAATTTACAGCCATAATTTGAATATGCAATCAATGCGTAATGGAGGGTATTTAATGTCTTGTAATGCAGGCCTTACAAATTTGGAATACAAGAACTGCTGTCTTTCTCAAGACAAGCCAGCGGATTACAGTAATCGTGGCAGTCCAGCATTTCGCACATTTTCGATTGCATATTTTTCTGCTGACTGTTTCTTTTGCGTGTACAATTACTTGGCTGTCAGTATTGAGCCTAAAGTGGTGATATTTCGTTATGTTTAATAGCTCTAAATAGAGAATTGATGAACATATCAACATATCCCGCTCCCTCAATTCCTATTCGAATAATTATAGCTGACCTTTATTGTTAGCGCTTAATCGTTTAGTAGCATCTACTAAGTGCAGAACTGTGTCGAAGTTAATAGCACGATCGGATGAAAAGCACTACAGTGCAAACCCTCGGCGAACTGTGCATGCGCGATACTGCTAATTGATGGGCTGATTAGCGTTTACTGGTGGAATGGGCGGAGAGTCTGACATGGGCTAGCTACAAAAGTAGATAGCATGTGGGAGTCCATACGTGCAGTTCGTTGTGACTTCCTGAGCCTCCAAGGTACACAGAGCGAGCCGATCAGGTCGCGGTACGCCCAGTGCGATTATGCTTTTTCGCTTGTTTTCACAGCATATCTCTGGAACACAGTCGTTTCAGGAAAATTGCCCTTTTTTTCCAGGCTCGCGTATATAGCTTTGAAGCCGCTGGTATCGCTAATAGGCCGCCTCGTAGCCTGTATATAGTTCCAGAATAAGTGTGGACAGACAGACCGCCAGACAGACAAACCAACTACTGTAACCCCCGCTGCGCGTGCGCGCCGAGGGTTAATTAGGCGAGAATGGCCGTCAACAAGACATCCAACTTCCATAAATTGTAAGTAAAGTTAAAAATTAGCAATAATTAGGTAATTTTATCTGTCGCAACATTTTCGAAACATCTGAGGTTTTCAGCAGACTTAAAATAGAGTTCACATTCTTCTTCTTCTGGAGTCTTCGCTGCACGATACCAGCAAAAACTCATTTTCGACAAAAATTAGTTTTTGACTAAATTTAGCGATACTGTAATTCAACATCAGGACAATTTTCAACTCCATGCACATGAGGTCAGCTCTGACAGCTTCAAACTTTTTATTGAACGCCACTCTTCCTATCAGGCAAGGGCGCAAACCTACTCCAATTACAAGAAACCAAACATGGTAAATGTTGTTACTGGAAGTACACCATGTGGTGCCATATCTTCCTAAGTGTTGCGACAGTTGAGCGACAGACTAGTGCATCACCATGAACAGTGAGGCTGATGCAGTATAGAGACATTGTCCTGGTGGGCCACAGCTTCAACATTGCTGGTGCTCACAGAGAATAGCCAAGGTTCGTGAACTTGTTCAGCGGGTAGTAGGACTGCTGAATAACTATTCTTCAAGGCACACTACCAGTCACATTTTTTAAGCGCAAGTGTGACACTGACACTGCCTTTATTGAGTTGTGCGTTTTGCCTTGAACCTAGTGTTGTTCCTCATATTGACAAGTGAATAAAACAATCTTCGAATTAAAAAGTGTGGAATGTAGGGATGCCATGAAACGCAAGGAGACAAGATGGGGATGGTCTTGTGCATGTAATGCAGTTGTAAAATTGATGATGATTACATCTGAAATTTCTTGCTCGTGTAAATTTTACTCCACACAAGCCCGCAAAGCACGAGTGATCTCTATGGTATGATGTGCAGCTATGACTCGTTTCCTATGCACGTGAGACTGGTAGCTAATACCCTCTCTGACAGGTCCTCAGTTTTGAACCGTGGCTGTATTTTGTAGTCTATGACTTCAATGTTTGCTCAACTAACCAGTTTTACAAGCTGCTTTCTATACAGAATTTTTGCCAGTCTTCACACTACATCGTTCACTAAACAAACTCATGTCAATTGTAAGGGTGGCGACAATATAGGGCTTGGGTTTACACGAGCAAGAAATGTCAGTTTAAAGATGTAACCATCATCCATTGTACTACTGCATCATATGCACTAGGTCATCCCTATCTTGTCTCCTTAGCATCCCTATATTCAGCTTTGAATTTCACATAGCCACTCCGCAACAGAAACGACTGCCAATTTTCCCCCTAACTCCACACCTCCATACTCCTTTAATAGGCTGGGATTCTTGTGTTATTATCCCTGCGGATATGACGATGGTCCTGTTAACTAACCCACTAGCCTGGCGCAGACGACTTAGTATAGTCATAAATGTCATCACCAAACGTCCCTATCAGCAGACTTCTACTCAAGAAACTTCGGACAGTGGCTCAGAATGGTGTGTAGTAACTCAAAATATCATTCGACCACACAGTATGCATACACAGCGTCTTATATATGCTCTACGAAAGTTCTCGAATGTTCCATGCACAGCCAGAGGTCGCCACAGGTGTAAACAAGCTCAGTTGGGATCAGCTACAATATTTGCCACCTTCACACAACGTTAGCGCAACCGGTACACAACATTACGCAACGTTCTGACCTACGGACTCCGTTGTATAGACCCCGGCTTTGCTATCCTGGAGTCATTACTGCAACGCGAGGTCTGTGATGGCTCACGTGACGTTGCACACGCTTGTTGTTGCTGAGAAAAGAGGTGTGGTGCGGAGTTAGCTACCTACCTAATTCAGCCACCGGCAGAGAGACTTCCTTTCTTGAACGCACGTGTTACTGTAGTGCCGCGCGTACTGTAGCAGCCTTCACCGAGCCTAAAAATAATATAAGTAAAGTGTTACTGGTACTTCTGCCATACAGGTGCTGTTAGTACAGAGAAATTCCACCTTCAAGCTTGGCAATCAGTGGTTTAACTTGGCCTTCCGGATTGCACACATTCTCTTGCCTGTGCAAAATCTCTGTGTACAAAGCGTTCTGATCTGGCCCGGTTGTTACAATGCTGTGCACATACGTAGGTTGTTTTTGAGGTCCATTTTCTCACCCATGCTATATGCTATGCGCACAAGATACATATCACCTATCTATGGTGATCAAGATTATCAGGTTGAATTCCAAGTCATGTGACTATCATGTGGCAACCATGAACACTCAATTAAGTATATGTTATCATTACACCTTATGGAGTAAACTGCAACACCACGGGCAAAAAATTTTTTAAGCGCGTTGATTGGTCGGTGCGGCACGCACTTCCAAATAAGGCAATGCACATGATCCCGTCAAATAAGATTGGAAACGCTTGTCGGGGGTAGCTATAGCAGAGGCTTTTCATTTGAACCAATGCCAGAAAGTGTCAGCAGATCTGTGACAGCAGGGTGTTTTAGCAATGATAAACATTCCACATTGGGGTATACAGAACTAAGAGCTTTGTAGGCGCCTTTGATCTGAGTGCCTACTGGGCTACAATACGTTATACGTTTAACTAGTCACCTAGGTAAGGTCTACTTCCCTTTTAATCTTTTAAGTAAGATTTCTTTATAGTGGAAGTAACAATTTGTTGCTGGTTACATTATTCTCTCCTCAGACCACAGTTCCAGAGAGATTTTATATGTTTACTGCCAAAAGAGGTAAATGAAGTTCCACAATAATTAACCCTCGGCGCGCATGCGCAGCGAGGGTTACGGTAGTCGTTCTGTGTGTCTGTCTGTCTACGACTATTCTCGCACTACAGGCTACGAGGCGGCTTATGAGCAATACCAACAGCTTTAGCGGTACATGGGCTACAAAAATAAAATTTGGCGATTTTGCTGAAACGACTGCGTTCGAGAGCGACAAACTGACACCGTCGCGGAAAGCGTTGCGTGGCCCAACCCATCAATAAGCGGTGCGCATGCGTGTATTAGACGCGGCTCACTTCGACCTGATCCGCTTGTTCTGTGTATATACCTTGGAGGCACAAGAAGCCACAGCGAAGGGTGTGTATCGACTCCCGCATGCTATCTACTACTGTAGCTAGCCAGTGCCAGACTCTCCGACTAGCGGGAGACCGCGAGTAAACGCCAATAACCCAGCCCATCCATTAGCGGTACCGCGCATTCGCAGTTCGTCGAGGGTTTGCACTTTAGTGCTTTTCATTATTTGTGGTACCTATTTCTAATGACAAATGTGCTGTGGGTTGTATGTATGGCATAGTGTAGCGATGTGCCGTGCACCTGATACAATAGTATATTGTCATAGTTTTACTGTGTATTACACAAACATACGGCCTTCCATGGAGATCAAGGAAGTTGGCATTGGTATAGCCTAAGCCCAAAGTCAGGTTGCATGCTCGGCAACTGTTAATTTCATTGTGTCTCTGTCCAAAGGCATTAGAGCGACCTAAAACCACTATTATGTAGGGCGTTTTCGTTAATTTCTTGATTGCACTATTTTGGATCAGCATATTGATGAGCCGTGTGCAGTTAATTCATTTGTGGGGAATACATGCCTATCATTTAGTTGTTGATTGCCAACTCTGAACATCTTCTCTTCATATTTTGTATAATATCTGATCCATAGCTTGCTCTTCATGTGTTGTCATTCCTCAACCCACGGGATCTCTTGGTTGCTGCACAAATATGTAGAACATGGCACACATTATGTGATGACAATCTGTAAGTGCAATAATGATGTTAATGTATTGCTATGCTGTATTATATTTAAGCAGGCTATGGAGGGACAAGTGCAAACGATACGAAATTGATGAGTCTATTCTGAGGTCATCATGTCGGAGACCCTCAGGAGCTGTTATTAGCAACCAATGGAAACAGGTCAGTCAAGTCATTAACCAAATTTTGTGTTGGACACACTTTGCTCAAGGTTCCGTATTTGTAGCATTGGTGTTGCTATTATAGTTCACTCTCGGTGCACATGCGCAGCGAGGGTTAGAGTACTTGGTCTGTCTGTCCGTCCGTCTGTTGGTGTGTTACCACGTTTTCTGTTGCAACAAGCAGGTGAAAAGCGACACCAACGGGTTCAGCGCTACACTCGCTTTATTTTAAAAATGGCGATTTTCATTTAAAAGTTCCGCGTTCAGAAGTTATGGCGTGAAAACCAAGTGAACAAGCCAATATGCTAATTGCCACACACTTACCTCAACCGGGTGCGCTTGTTCTGTCGATGTTGAAGGCACATTTTGAAAGCATTACAAAGTGACTCTTACGCAGAGACACTTTGTGAGGCAACATATACCAAAAGTGGCTGTCGCCATGCACCGCTCCTGGCCATGGCTGTACTCGAGACCTCGGAAACGTGGCATTACTAGCACGCCTCACCACAGGCCTTTCACGGTTATGCACTCACTAATGTTCCGTAGTACCTAGGACGTGTACGTGGAAGACCCTGCTGAGACATGCTACTACTATTACTAGGATCTTACAAAGCTTTCGTTTCTGCATGTGTTAACTCATACTGTGCACAAAAGAACACTGCTACGCATGATTGCAAGGAACCATTCGTTCCCTGTGTAGTTGCGCATTAGTTTTTGTTTCCATGAATGAGGAAAATTAATATGCTGGCTGATTTTCTGCAAAGAAAGGCTAAACATCTCTATATTTCAGTAATGTTTCAGCTATGCTATTACAAATTGTCACCCACCCACTTAAGCATTTTATCTCTAGTCAGAAGTTGCCTTATCACAAGTTTATGGGTTATGGCAATAAACAAACTTTCCTCTTTTTGGGCAATGCTTAATTATTATAATATTCATGGTTATACATTGCTATAGGACTGGGGATAATCTTTGAAGGCGTGCACGCATCCGTACATTTGCGTTTTGTTCCTTCTACGGTATTATTTTAACAAACTTGTAATTCCTGCATATCCTGTTCCTGCTTATATTATTAGTGGTGCCAAGTGAAACGAAGTGTAGCTCATAGCCCAGGTAATGCGTCTCTTCCTGGGCGATCGGATCAGCTCACAAGACTAGTCCCGTGCTAAGGTAGAGCTAGCCACGTGTGCACAGCATGTAAAGGGCTTTGTCCGGCGTGCTTGAGCTTTGCAGGGGTCTTGCTCTCCTTTGTCTGCGATCCCATTGCTGCCAAAATTGACTGCTAGCACACTAGTGCTGATGATCCTGTCTCAGCTTGCTCTACCGTGGATCCTGTGTCTCTTTGTTTATCTACGTATTGGCTAAAAGGTTTACAGCTATGGTCTGAATGGTGCCTCATTGGGTTCCTATTGCCACTTGGGTGAGAAACAGTAGTACGTAGCGGTCATGGGTGCCTATAATATTCATCGGATGCCTATTTTGTATTCGGGCTTTTTATCCTGATTCTTGGTTCTTCTTAGTTGATTTAATCACCCTTCTGTCCCAGTATCTGGAGAAGAGGATTTCACACTTAATGTTTCCCAATCAATTTTGTGATTGTTTCACCACAAATGTGCAGGTATGCCGTTGCATTTATCTTAAGGTTTAGTTGCGTATTTGAAATGAAATCTCCATCGAATACAATATGTGACTCCTTCTTCACAGGAACTGATGACTTCTCAAAGAAAAGCAATTGACAGTGCATAACCCTGTGCCTCTTTATTTATGATAGGCATTGATGGGATGGAGCACTAGGTTGCCAGCTTTTACCCCCTCCAAGGCAGTAGGAATCTCTGTCTTTGTTGCAACACTGTACGCTTAACAGTCGGCGAGCGTACGTTGTATGTCCGCATTGGCCACCGCTTCTGCCAGTTTCCCCCAGATCGTCGCTGAACAGCTACACCCCAAAATCCACTGTTTAGGCGGATGGGATGTTGGTTGAGGATGTAGTACTTGGGTGAATTTTGCGGTGCAACGATAATGAAATCATGAAGGTAGCGAAACAAGTATCTTATTCCCACTTGGCGTAGGTACCGTACAGAGGCCGAAGGGGAGCATGGGATCCACACCGTCCATTTCATCACCTGGAGAGGACTGTTAGTAGGATGTACGGGGACAAGCCAGTAGGCTGCATGTTGGCCAACAATGCCCTTTGCAGGTATGACACGACGATCTCTTCAACGTGATCTACTGACGTATAGGTCTGGGATCAGAGCTCCGCATCGAAGGCATCATTGACGCTACCTCCTGGTAGAAACTACAAGTCGGTTATAAGCCGTTATTGTGGCCCTTAGGAATGACGCCAAACTGATTAATGTGGTGGCCGGCATGAAGCTAAGGGGCATTCTGTGAAAGAGGGCCCACAGCATGCGTCCGAGGGAGCATTCCTTCTCTATGTCCTCCGTGATCACCTCTTGGTTGAGGTCGTCGGACGGCATACTTTGCGCAGCTGACCTAAGGAGAGATGGTGTACAGAAACCGAAGTGAAAGCAATTGCAGACGGTGCGGAGGCCCTTTGTAGGTAGTTTTGGAGGTCCTGCTCCCAACCTGGCAGCCATAGGGGGTTGCGTAATTGCTGGAGCACAAGTGGGCTTAACCTGGATCCCACGGCAGAGGTCCAGGGCCAATAAGTCATAGAGGAGCCCCCATCCTGTGACGAAATGAGGGTAGAAGGTGTATTTTAATACTACATCGCCCGTGTGCACTCATGCATTGAGTAGGAACTGATGGTGTCATCACACAAAGAAGAGGAGAACACTGCACCCAAACTAACTCTACGAGTACTAAGTGTCTACACCCTTGTGTCAGAGGTGGCAGGGATGAGTTGCACTGGTCCTGGGATACTCGTCGGGATTGGCGGCTTATAGGGGTGAAGTTGAGCCGATCAAGCTCTGGGAGTGATGCATGACTTACCCAGTGGCGCCTTGCAAGGGGCCCTTAGACGGCGGGGGCACTGACTCACACAGTGTGGCCCTGAGCATTCGAGGAAGGGTAGTGACGTAGTGAGTAATGGCAGCGCTTTTCGTTAAAGCTTCTAGAAATCTAGGTAGATGCTGACGGTGCGGCCGGAATGAGTTGGCCAAACTGAGGTATAAGCTGGAGTGCCTGAGGAGTCTGGAACCAATCCACCACAAGGTGTACTCGCGTGATTCTGGGACTAACAGTGAGAGGGCAATGTAAAGTGGTAACAAAGGGGATTTATAGGCAAGAGAATGAACATATGCTTGCTGACTCAGCAAATAACGCTCTCGACAACACTTTTTCGAAGGAAAAGGAAAAGCTACCGTAGGTGGGTATCGAACTCACAACATTCTGCTCTCTAGGTGAGTGCTCTTCGAACAGAGCTACCAGGGTAACTCCGCTTGTAGGGTGAGCACACGTATGCGCCCATGTGTAGATAAAATCACACCTGTTGTGCTGGCCATGCGATCGCGGTCGCGGTTGAGACATCATACCTAGAGCGAGAATATAGCTGCACAGTTACACCACCTAACTGGTTCGTTTGGTGAGAAATGGGGTTATTCTTGCCGGGCCAGGACTGAAGCATCAGGGTCATAGGAGATTATAACTTTTAAAAGTATATACCCTGACATAATGTCAGGCCAACACGTGTGTTGGTCGGATATAGGAAAACTTCTATAGGACATACAGTTAGCATGAGTATACAGGTGATAATTTTTAAAAATACTCAGGAGGGTGCCATAGCACTAGGGACCATAGAGCACGCACCCAGAGCAATGGGCGGAACCGCTAACAAACGAACATACACTAAATGGACATCGGGTGTCTGTCTCACCTCCCAGACACCTCAACTCACCCCTTCCACCAGCGACACCCTGCAGCTCCCCAGACGCAATCTGAGACTGGGTCTGTTGTATGCTGGGATTATCGCCGTATAACCTAACCTTTCTAAACATGAAAAAGCGACCATCAATCACCATACTCCAGCACTTCCTCTGCTTGCCTCTCCGTGGCTTAAAGTTCCATTCCTGATTAAAAAGCTTCTTTGGCTACCTATTTCCTATACTACCACTTCAACTTATTCTTATCCCTACCCCCTTGTAACGTATCAAGCCCCATATCCTCCCTAACGTCTTCATTACATGTCTTAGACGAACACCCAAGAATACGCTTAATCCCTATTACGAATTATACTATGCAACTGATTAACCTTCCTTCTACCATTGTCTAACACATTCTTTAATATGCACATCCCATTCACCAGTATTAGTAAAATCAACACCCAAGAATGTGTATTTCGATACTCTAGGCAAAACATGCTCCCCCCATTTCCAAACACCATCCACTGACTCCCTAGTGAACACCATCACTGCACTCTTGCTCACATTAGCCTTTAGCCTCCATTTCCGACAGTAAGCATGGACCGCATCTATAAGCGTCTGTAACTGATCATTAGACTCACTAACACCGACAAAGTCATGCCAAACAAAAAGTCCTCAAGTCTCCACCACTACTGAAATCAAATCCCAATCTCGATCTCCTCTACTTCCTCAAAAACCCATTGATAAATATGGAAAACAAAAATTGACATCCCTGAGCTACCCACTGCCACATCAAATGCCTCTTACTGTTCCCCATCCAACATACAGCACTCTTTGAAGACTCGTACATCCTCTTTATGACCTCTCCACATCTTCCCTCTTCTACCCCCAAATTCCCACAAACTTATAACACACAGGCCGTTACGCCACACACTATCGTATGCCTTCTGCACCATCTAGAAAGAATTTTCCCCTCCTTTGCATGAGTTCATTCAGCGTATAAATATTATCAACACAACCCCTTCCAACCCTAAAACCAGCCTGACCTCATGCAATGCTTGCCCTCGTCCAGATGCTTCACTAACTATCATTCAATACCTTACAAAAGACCTTCCCCAACCACACTCAGCAGAGTGATGCCCCTATAATTCCCAGGATCCTCCTTATCTCCCTTCTTGGC